GCATAGGAGGAGGTGGACGGTCTGGAGCTTTGGAAACTGAAGTATAAGAAGGAGGAGGAGCATTCTCAGCTGGTAGGTTACTAGTATCAGGATCTGGGGAGAGATGGAGGAATGAGGGAATGTAAAATATAAGATATTACTCTTGCTGTGATGGGGATACCTTGTGGTGCTTTATCTGCTTCTTCTTTTTCCTCTTTCATCTTCTTCTTTGCTTGACGTAACTTCATGATAAGATCAAATAATTCAAGAGATGAATTGACAAATGTGACAGCCTAAAAACAATAGAAAAGTAAAATTAAAATCAAAATTGTTTCGTAGTTGCTATCTGATTCATGCAAACAGAAAAACATGTAAAAGTTGTACATGTACTGTATGTATGATCATGATAACATACTATTGGTCTCTTAGCCTTGAAGCAGTAGAGTCTGAATCCAGTGTGGGACTCCTTAGTTTGAATGATAACTCCAAAGTAGCACTGATCCTCAGGATCATGAGTTACATAAGTAACCTTATCCACTGGGACACGAGTTATAGACTGTAGTTATTAATAGTTATAAATATTTTAGTGGTGGGCGATACTGGCCAAAATGGATTCGATCCGATACTGATCAATACCAGTCCATATCGGGAGTATTGATACAGTTTCGATACAATATTTAGACCACACCTATGGAGTCACACCTCTTATTATTGACTGTTTTCATCGATTTTTTCATGCACATGTATCCACGTGGGTGTAATTATGTCATTAACTTATTAAAATTTTCTTTATTAATATTATTTAACCTCAATAAGTGGGCGTTGTCAACATATTGATCCGAATTTCTTTAAAATTTTGATATCGATACAAATCGGTACTGTAAAATATCGTTTGTATCAATAAAATATCGATATATCGCCCACCACTAAAATATTAGAGGCCATGCTAGTACATGTACATGTACCTTTGATCTTTCATCATAAAGTGATACTCCTTTCAGGTTAAGACCTAAAACTGCTTTTGGCTTGTGAGCTCTCATATTCTTACTAGTCGTCTATAAAAGGAGAGAAGCAAAACAATGAGCAACAACAACAGTAATGACTGATTCATGAAAATGTGATGATAGTTTTGCTCGATAGATATTAAACCAATCCCTCTCTCCCTCTCTTTCCTTACCCTCAGAGTAGGTAGGCACTATCTAGCAGCTTCAGCATCACCACGTCTCCTGTTAACATTCTCAGATTCAACATACTGCAAGTTGAATAATTTAAAATTGAGTGCATGCCGCAATAAATGCATTTTAAAAATACCTTAACTCTAAATTGGAGTCCTTCTCAAGAATATTAGTGCCACATGATGTACAGGTAGTCTCCTACCCGTACAGTGGAGTGACCACTCCTCTCCACTGGTTGATAGTCTATAGATAACAAGAGGTAACAGTAACTGAATGATACACTAATAGTAACAACACACGAGTCATAATCAAGTATAAACAAAATACTGACCTGGTGCGGCTTTGGCTGCCATTTTGTTTGGAGGTAAAGCCCTTATTATGACGTCATACTTAAAACTTTGTTTTAAAACTAATTTTAAAGAATTAAAAAATAGCCTATCTAAAAAAAATTTGCAGCAACAACAGCAATAATAATAATATCTCAATAATTAATAAACAGTGTCATTTAGTTCAGTTATAATATCATTCATTGTTGGACGGTGTCTATACTCAACTATCAGGCAGCGTTCAACAAGAGACCTAAACGAGGCTCTTCTAATACCATCAATAAGACCTACTCTCTCTTCTGGTAGAGGAATACGTTGTGTTATCATCTCTAGAAGGAGGACACCATAACTGAACACATCCATTGAAGGAGAGTGTTCCCTTGGATTGGCTGCTTCAGGTGCTGCATAAAGTGGGCCACCAGGATTGACTGACCTAATTATAGAATGCTGAAGATTAGCTGATCCGTAATCAGATACTTTAGCCCTCCATACTCCTATCATTGGTTGAAGGAGTACATTAGCGCTGCTGACATCTCTATGTAGTATAGGATGAGGCTTG